ACCCCAATTCTGGCGATGAAGCCGTTAAAATGTTAAAATGCAATTTTCTTCTGTTTTTATTAAATGTCAAGTATTAGAGATTGTTAATATCCAAGAAAGTGTTCACACTGGAGTCTTTGTTCTTAAATAAAACACACACACACACACACACACACACACACACACACACACAGTTAGACATGAAAGATACAAAAAATTAAGTCACTCTTTTCCATTTTTAAAACGAGTCTGTTTAAACTAAGAGAGGAACCATTTCAAATTTCTTTAACTGTAAATAATCTGTCTATGATGTTCTTTTATATTTGACTGTCTCACACATGTACTATAGTATGCATTTTCTCAAAATGCTTAAATCTAAATTGCTTTTGTCCTCTGTCACCCACCCACCATAAACAAGCTGCTTAATGAACAAACCAAACTAATACAAGTAACAATTTTGGATGACGGCAATATTTAACTCAAGGTGCTTGTCAGAACAAATATTAATTTGGGTATTGATTAGAGAAAGTAATGCCAACAATATGTAATTGCATTTTGGAATCTGTCAGTATTTTAAAATGGAAAAATTTAACTGAATTGCAACATGTTATTTGTTAACTAAATACAAATCCAATAAAGGTGTCTATACGCACTGCTGTACCCAGTTATAGCATACAGTAAAATAATTGTGCGCCTTCACACTCGGGTTCTACCACTATACATTTCAATGAACTGGATATTTATGATCTTTGTAAAACAATAATAAAACTCCCAATGAGGAAATAATGTGGTGAAACAAACACACACACAAGCCGTTTCAAACTGGGTCATACAAAATCATCTCTCCTAGGTTATGGTCTACAAAGGCCTTTTCCATACAGTCTTGGATTACACACTTTAACAAACTAGGTCTTGAGCTAGTCTCAAGAACAAGGCCCAACCGGTTTGTTAAAATAAGCACAAATCTTTCAGAAAGACTGTGTGGCCCTTTTTCTTACACACATTTGAAGATTACGTCTTTGCTGTAGTGTATGAACATTAGCACCAATACATAAAATACTTTATAGATCTTACTGTCAAGATCACAAATGTACCCCAAAGTGTATCTCAGAACAAGTCAACAAAATAAACCTTTTCACTTGTAAAGGGGAATAAGCACATTTACATTGTTTTTATCTTTTTTTCTTATTTTTTTTTTATTTGACATTTGATGCCAGAGAAAGTTTAAAAACTTAAATCCTTGTGCCCAATTAAGGACAAGTTTTTCAAAGGTATCTGTTGGTCATTGTTGAATGGGGCGATATCATTTCTATTTCATTACCACATTCAAATTCCCCCCTTAAAATATTTATCAATAATGCTTTAAACCAAATTTCCCACAGAAGTGGTACAGAAAAAATGCACACATTTTCAACTAAGAAAACCAAAGCATTGAGGGTGCTCCAAAAAAGCAACTTTTCCCAAATTTCACTTGTAAATTCACACTTCTTAACAATTTACACTCTGCTGATGTAGCATACATGTAGTATTTCTCATGCTAACATCTGCAACAAAACTGAATGAACTGAGGGAAAATACCCATCCAGGCTAGATTAAAGCTAGCAGATGGCAGGCTAGACATCCATTAAGGTCAAGAAGCAGACGAAAATGAATGGATAAGATGGTATTAGAGCAAAAATTATTTATGTTGGATTGGATTTTGCATTATGAACGCCATACTCCTACCACCTCTCATTCAACAGCCACAAAAAATTATATAGGCAAGCGACTTATCAAACTTTATAGGAAAAGTAATTTGGGCCTTATTCATGGGGGTGGGGGGTGTAGTAAATAAAAGTAACGCATGTCACAAATAAACCCCATGTATTTTTTAACAAAAATACATCAACATCGTAAGGTTGTAGAGTTATGGTGTGCCAAAATACTATATTGCTTTTGTATATCCCTCTTCATTTGAGATCTTACTATGCCATATGACATCAGCACACAATGAAACAGCCACATATTTCTGAAACAAGTAGAAGGAAAAGTACATGAAGTTAATCAACCTTCAAGCAATCGACTGCCATTACTGGAAACACTCAATTCTTTTCATGTAAAACAAAAAAAATCAAGCCATATTATGGATAATCAGTAGTCACAATTTTGTTGGGTAAAGAAGGGGAAGAAATTTCACTGAAATGCACAAAACAAACTAAACTTAAAGAAACAATACATAAAATTATGTTGCAATTGATCATATATATATATGATCAACTGTAAGGTATAATAGTTTTTAAAGACTTAGAAACAACTCAAATGAAATTGTATAGTTGGGTCAAAAGATTCAGTGACCTATTTTCCCCCCAAAAATTTTAATTCCCTTGTAGCCTTTATCTGCAGCATTTATATTTTTATATTTTACATGTTTTTTTTCTTCAGATATCTTACTATACTTGTACGAAGGAAAATGTAAACTGTCCTTTGACACCACAACTCTCTCCAAAAATAACTTTTATGAAAGGCAACTTCGTAAATCAAGCCATCTGACAAATGTATTACATTATTATTATTATTTTTTATTTAACCTAAAGGGGACAAAATAACCTAGCAAATTGTAAACATTTATCACAATGGCTGAATTAAATGGGAAATTGAAGCAAAGAAAGCAACTTCCAATTTCAAGGACAAGGATATATTTCTTCATTTAGACTTCTGTTTTAAACGGCGTGTTTATTTTTTTGCTTATTATATTACTACACCTTCAACATATTACCCTGCTTTATTTCTTTAAGATGCTTTCAAAGCTGCATTGAAATAAAAGGGAAGAAACAAAAAATGTATGTGACAAAACAAATGTGTGTGTGGGGGGGGGGGGGCAAAAGAGCAAAAGCACTTTTTCTTTCAACACACCAAACCTCACACAACTCTATCCTCTACAAGTCATTTAAAAGGAAAAAATAAGAACAATGCTAAATTATCTGATTAGGGAAGGGGGTGTCGCAATCGTAGTGCTTTCAACCTGACTTCTGAGTATTCATAGTTCGGTCACAGAAACTTAGACTATTAGAAGGACTGAGACTAGGTTCACAAGCACATGCACAATCAGTAGGACCACAGTTATAGTGTATCCTAGATCAAACATAAAAGTGAAGCTAAAATCTATAAGGGGTAAATTAAAGAACAATCTTAATGCTTAGCTATGCCTTTTTTATTCTTTTCAAAATTGATCAAACTTGGAATTAACAGACTGAAAACAAGTCTATAATAAATGCTGTTGACCAGAATCAGCTAACTGTACGTTCAACCTATTGCCATGTTTTCCTCTCTTTATGCTTTCATCTTGGTGATATGCCCTGGTCTCACTGTTCTTGTAAGGGTCCTCCTATCCCTCCTCTGGGTTTTGGTTGAAAGTGATAGGAGGAAATTAGCATTGGTATGCCTCCACGCTCAGCAGAAGAATCATACATTACTGCTTCCTAGAAGCAAAGGAGGGTACAACATTTAGTATTAAGCAAACTTACACACATACTCCCTTTTCCATTCAATGTAGTGTCTATAATTTGACAGTAAGATTATTCATGATTATTCCCTATTGATGGATCAATGGGTTTATCAAAGCAGTGTACAACTGACTTCCCTAGTATCTAATACGGCTAAATATTGTACTCTTCTTACCTCCGCACTGAGAACCTGGAAATAAAGGGGAACACAGAGTACTTTGCCACCAGCACTCTTCTTGCTGCATATTAGTTAAGCACTGTTCTCCAAAACTCAACAGTGGAAACTGTTTAAGAGACAAAGAAAGTCAATCAATGAGAGCATTTAATTTTTTTTTTTACATTTGAAAGGTAAAAGGTAGATCTTTAAAGAATATCAAGTACTGTCATGGCATATATGAATTCAGTGCATTCAAGTGCAGGTGACAGCAACGTCAGTATCAACCAATAAAAACATGCTAATATATCGTACAATTTTCCATATGCGTTTCTCTGAAGGTTAGATAACAGTTAGAGAAAAGACTGGCTCTGCAGTCACTTACCTCATGCATATCTTGAGCAACATCAAGCAACTTCTCACTTTTTGGAATCTGATCAGTTGCAGCGCATTTGCAAGACTCTGTCTCCCTGCTAGATTCCTCTTGCTGAAGAACAGAGGACTGCACATGAGAACATGGCACCGAAACCACTGCCGTCTCACAATGTACGCAAATCTCTTGTTCAGTAATCGGCAGAAGGGTGCTCCCACCCTCCTGTGAATCGAGCGACGTCTGTGCACTCTTCTCCATGCCAGACTTCTTTAATCTGGGTAGGAACTTTCCAGACTCCAGCTCCGATTTTCCGTAGTAAGGGCCCTCGCACTCTGCGTCCTCCTCGAGAGGCTTGAGGTCAGCCTGTGGGTCATCAAAGAGGTCTGCTTGACCAACTGGAAGACTCGCTTCCTCTTTCTCAGACTCTACATCTGACTCACTGCAACCACCTGGAGAAAGTTCAGAGGCAGATATTGGCCGGAAATGAGTCCTTGGGGAAATTCGAATGGCCCGATACTGAGTCCGTTTGATGCCATATAACCAAGGGCAAAAGGGCTCATTGTCGGAGCATAATATAGATTTTGGCTTGAATCCCGGGCTGAAAGAGGCCATATCCTCTGGCTCAAAGGAGCACTCCACATGCAGGACCTGGGAAAAAGGGTTGTTCAAATCAAAGGATGAAAACGGATAATCCAGTCCTGACTCTTCTCCACGGAAGCCTCCGCATGATCCCAGTAAATCTTCATGGAAGACAACAGAAAATCCCTTATTTAAACCATCCCCTGGTCCCTTGGTAGCCTGCTCATTTTGACCAAGGGACACAAGAGGTCTCCACAATGGCTTGTGGCCAGGAGCAAAGCAACTGCTTGTGTTCATGAACACATCCGCCCCTGCAATGGTTACCATGTCAGAAGATGTGGCTGCTGCACACTGCAACAAACTGCCACAAGCATCACCAGGTGGAATCATAGCCCATTCTCTGTCGCCGCTTAGACTCTTCAGTTCTCCATAAACCCCACCGAGGATAAAGGAGGTGCTGTCCTGTGAATTACAATTCCAGGGCTTGGCTGGCGTTGTGTAATCCCCATCATTCATTTTAGAGAGCTTGTTTTTATGAAGTCCCTCGTTCTCCTTCTGCCCATCCCAAAGATGATACTCAGAACACTGCACAGCTTTCTTTTGAATAATTTCACCTTTTACATCCTTGTCAAGACAGCTGCATTGGTAGCCGGTAGCCTCCTCTGGAAACAAGTGCTCCCCTGTATTCTTTACCCCGAGTGTTAAGACACAGTCTCTGTCTCCAATAGCCATCCAAATGTCTTTTATTATCCCTGAGGTGTATTCATCACTTTGTTTATTTAGGACATCTGAAAACACAACAGCATTATAGAGTTTACTCTCATCCTGCTCTAATGCTATGCCACAAACAGACTCCAATTTCGATTTCTTATTGAAGGGTTGGCTGGACTCTGTGCCTACACTCGTTTCTTCCTGCTGGTGACTGGAGTTCTCTTGAAAGAAATCTAAAAGCTCTTCTTCTAGGCATAAAGGTGGGATAAGGGAGATACAGCTGACCTCTTCACTGACAAACTGAGCAGATTCATCCGCTGGAGCATTGATCTGTTCACTATCTGACCGTGTCTCCTCTGAGTGGGACCAGGGACTGCAGGTCCTCGTTGATAAGTTAGAGCAGTGTTCTGTTTCATCAAAGGCACTGTTTTTGGTCCAAATTAGCAAACGGGATTGTTTGTTTCCTTGTGGATCTAAACAGCTACTTGAATCTACGTTGTCCTGTCCCTCCGTGAGCGAGTCGCAGGGAAAAGAAAAGGAAGGGCTATCGTACTGCAACTCAAAAAGAGGAAAACATGAGTTTAGGGCAGAGATGCTACTGCTGGCTTCTTGGAGATGAGGCCCTACAAAAGCTCCAGACAGTTTGCTAAAGTTAAATGGAACACTGTCCAACACTGGGGAGAGCCTGACTGGAGAGTCACCCGGACAGCTTTCTCCTTCCAAATCTTCCAAGCTCGATGATGAACAGCACTCCCAGACTTGGGCAATATTTTCCATATCTTGTGATATAGAAACATCTGCTTCTGAGGCTCCCAGAGAATCAACCCTTATTGCACTTTCCCCTTGCAGCTCAAGGCCATCTAAAACTACACATCCTGCTTCAAAGTGTTTTCGCTCAATGCTCTTCTGCCGAATCATGTTCAGGATTCGGCTTTCTTGTACCGCATCTGAGGCACTAGGATCCAATATGGATTGATAAAGATCAACTTCATAGAAGTGAGTGAATTCAGACAGATGCTCGTCATCTAAATTTTGACCATCTTCAGGAGGAGGGCAGCTTGGAATCCCATTCAGTTCAGGAGCCTCTTCGTCACCTTCGCCAGGCACTTCAATGAAGTGGCCATCCACAAAAGTGCCTGCTGCAAGGTATGCCCTTTGAAAACAAGAATTTGCAATGCAGATTCCTTGAATTCTCTCCGACAGACAGTCCACATCAATGGACATAGCTAAGTCATTGGAAGAGTCTTCTTTACTCCGATACTTTGTCTCCAATTTACTTCTACTGAGAGGGACAAAGTACTCCGAGATGGGCTCTGTGTACCAAAGTGGCTCCTCCATATATTCCTTTCTTTTGGCCTCTCCTCCTGACTCCTGTGCCTCAACCAGATTAGCATCTTTGCGGATCTCCCTCAGAGGTCGTTTGCCTTTTTTCATGTAGTGCTGCTGTCGTTTAGATGGGCCTCCAGTGGTACTGATGTTGCCTCGTGCATTTTTCCACTCTTCTTTATCGATGACTTTAAGGGCCAGTTTGACCTGTCCGCCGCCACTGCGGCCTCTTTTGTTTCTGCTGCTGACCTCTCGAGATTTGTGTCTTATGCGGACAGCTTTGCAAATAGGGGTCTGGTCACCCTGGTTACCACTGGAGCTTGAGCCAGCCTCACTAGAGCCAGAGGACCACGATCTGGGACGGAACCTCCCCTCAGATCGGTGTCTCGCCTGCCGCTTACTATGAGGAGGAACCTGATCATCAGTCACCCCTGTTGCGCTTCCATGGAATCGGTTTTCCTTCTCCCTCTTAGTGCGTCGCTGCTGGGCCCTCTCGCTGATTGTGATGGTGGAACTGGGTGCATCAACTGTTCGGTCTTTAATAAAAGCTTCACCTTCGCTGGTGCAGTCTTTTGGAGAGGATGTGTCTGTGCTTGTTTGAGGGACAGCAGATGATGATGCGCTGGAATATGTGCAGGCTTTAGCTTTGTTCCACACAGTCATAATTTCTTGGAGACAAACAGATTTTTCTGAGAGAGGTGGGAAAGCTTCATAGTACCTAAGGAGCAAAAACAACTGCATTATAATAAGAATAACAACAACAATAAAAATTATAGTAATAATAATAATAATAGTGTAAATAATAATATGAAGATAATTAAGAGCAAATACTAGGGGTGCTCTGATTAATCGGCTACCGATCACTATCAGCCGATAACCGCTTGGGGATTTTTGATTGGCAGGCTCTATAAAGGCCGATCTCAAAAAAACGATCTCAAGCTGATGACGTGCCTGCCATGAGAGGTTTGACACGACATGCAGCGGCACCGTCTCAGTTTCTGTCCGGCGCAAGTGAAACAATTATAACGCTGAAGGTGAGGTACAATTTATATTTCGTCATTAAATAACTTAAAGTAATTTGAAAACTTTCTGTAAGACAATTTCACAAACAGTGTGAGTGAAACACCGCGCGATCTCTCTTTCCCTCTCAAAATGCGCAAATGGCTTTATGACAAACAACACATAGGCTATGGCTTTTTGGCTAGGTTTAAAGGAAAAGAGCACTTTTAGATGAACAAGGCAATAATAGATGGCATTCGTGGAAGTAGGAAAACAAAGTTTTTTTTTATGAACCGCAGGATTGCTTGTAATAAAGATTTAAATGCAAAAGAAAATGCAGTAGAGCTGACAGTTTATGTCAGTGGTAAGTTTTAATTTAGAATGTTTGTGATAATGAAGTAGTTTAAAGGGGTCACATGATGCGATTTCAATTTTTCCTTTCTCTTTGGACTGTTACAAGCTCTTGGTGCATAAAGAAGATCTGTAAAGTTGCAAAGACTAAAGTCTCAAATCCAAAGAGATATTCTTTATAAAAGTTAACGCCTACCTAAAATGGCTCGTTCTAACACGCCCCCACATGTCTACGTCATGATGTGGGAAGATTTGCATAACGCCGCCCAAATGTTCACGCAAAGAAAGGCGGCGTAAAGAAAGAA